GCCTGTGTCGTGCGCCCACTGTGCGCCGGGCTGCTGGGGCTCTCGCGCCTGTGTCGTGCGCCCACTGTGCGCCGGGCTGCTGGAGCTGTGTTGCCTGTTGTGTGCCCACTGTGTGCTGGGCACCATGCTGGCGATTTTCTCTCCTCTTTCCCATTTTCTGCTCATCTCTTGCCCTTAGCCTCTCTGCCCTGCCCTTTCCAGCTCTTGGAGCCTGGGAGGGGATGATGGATAGTCAGGGACTGGGGCAGGCCGGGGTCCGGCTGACAGATAGCTGGGTGAGGGACAGCAAGGGAGAGCATATGAGCCAAGTGAGGTGCTGGGTGAGAGGGGGCACGGCATGGAGAGCATTGGGGGGTTTCGGGGTGCCGTCTCCCCAGCATAGCCCTGCCACTGCCCCTGCTCGGTCACGTGGCCCCAGGGGATCTCTGGCACCTTCCTTGCAAAGAGAGGGTTACTGTAAGTCATTGCCTGGCTCCACGGCCCCCTGGCTGTGCCATTAACTTTCCTGTTTCAGTTTCCCTTACCTCAACCTTCGGGTTGTCAGGAGGATTGATGGAGGTGATCTGTGTGGCATGCGTCAGTCTCAGCACCAGGTCCCTCACCTGGTCCCAAGCAGGCACGCAGACTACTCAGAGATCTTCCCACAGGGCTCTGGGCGACACTTACTGAGGCCATGTGGCCCATTACTGCTCAGAGCTGGCCGAGCTGGCAGACTTAGCTGTTCCTGTGTGCCTGTGACCTGACCTGACTGGGGAGGGGCTGGGAGCCATCACCTGCTGGCTAGGGATGCCGTGCTTCTCAGCACCCACAGACAGGCGTGGAGGCAGCCAGCTGGTCAGCCAGTCCTGGGAGTGGGGAGCAGGCAGCCCCTCTCCCTGCCGTGACCTTTCTCTACCCCTCCTGCTTGTCTACTGAGGCTGGGGTGGGAGGGACCCTCTCTGGACCCTGCTCCTGGCAAACCCCAGGTGGGCTCTGCAGACCCTGAGGAGTGCTGGGAGCGGGTATCCCTGTCTGTGGAGGCTCAGAGAAGTCACTGGTCCTTTGGGGATGTTGGTAGGGGCGTCCTGGAGGAGGGACGCCTGAGCTGGGTCTTCAGGGAGCTGCAGGAGTTGTCAAGAAGAGCCTGAAGGCCTGAAGTCAAGGCTGAGGTCAGCCTTGATGCTTCCATTGCAGAGGAGACGTGGGTGGAAGAGGGAGCGAGTAGGGGGTGGGTGGGGTGGGGTTGGCAGCAGAGCCTGGGTGCCTTTGCTCACTGGGCTCTGGTCCGGGAGTCCATGATGGTCAGTGGTCTGGGGATTTAAAACAGGTGGGGAAACTGAGGCGAGAGAGAGAGAGAGAGAGAGAGAGAGAGAGAGAGAGAGAGAGAGAGAGGTGATTTGTTATGAATCACACCTGATTCCAGTAAATGTCTAGTTTTGACTGAGCACTTAGAGTCTGCTGGGCCCTGTTCTGAGAGCTGCCCATGGGAAGTAGGTGGAGCTGAGGCTCAGCAGCTGAGCAGCCCGGCCGTCTGACCCCAGCGTTCCTGCTGGTGCACTGCGTGCTGCTCTTCTCAGACTGTCTGACCACAACCCGCAGGGAAACCCAGTGCACACACCTGGAACAAAAGCGTCCCGAGATGACGATGGGATGTACCGGGGCGGCGGTGGGGGGGGGGGGCAGCCTTCTGCTTTCTCTCGTATCACATTATCCAGCTGCGCCAGCCACAACCCAGTAAATGTCAGCACCCGCTAAGGGCCGGTCCTGCAGTGTGGAGGCCCCAGAGCCCTCTGGTTTCCACCTCTCCCTGCATTATCTTTTATTTGCGTCATGTGCCCCCGACACCCACAGAGGTCCAGGGTGCCATTGTCAGCCTTGTGTTATGCATGCGGTAACTGACGCTCAGCAGCTGGCTCATTTGCCCAAGTTAGGGTGCAGTTTGTGCTGGGGTTTGGAGCGGACCGTGTGTTCCAGCCATGCAACCACGGCCAGCATAGCCAGGCTGGGTCTCAGGCCCGCCCCCTTTCCAGGTCACCTCTGTGCAGCCACAAGGTGTGCTGAACGTTGCTTCCCATGCCTGGCTCTGTGTCTTACCTGAGGGGGCGGGGCTGCTCCCTACAGCCATGCCAATTGGGTGAAGCTCCCTGCAGCCTTGCCCTCCCCAGGCTGGCAGCAGGGGGCAGTGCAGCTGTGTCTGGGCTGCAGCTGCTGGGGTGGGAGGAGACTCTGCCCCGCTGCCTCTCCAGTCGGCACACCTGCCAACCTTGGTCCCCCCACCTCCTCCAGGCCACGGGGTCTGGCAGGGAACTTGGGGTTCACTTCTCTCTGAGCCTGGTCCCAAGGCCTCACCTTTTCTCATCCAGAGACAGACAGAAGCCTACTATGATGGGGATTCTGGTGACATCTTAACTGTCAGTGGTCCCACTGCCCATGGGAGGAATACCAGACACCTCTGTTCCATGCCCTTTAAAGGCTGGCTCCAGTTTGCTTTTTCTGGCAGCTGCTTCCCCGGATGTGAAACGAGAATTAGGGCAAGAAGCTTGGCATGGTGTCTGGCGCATGGAGAGCACCCAGGAAGTGCCCGCTGCTACTACTGTTACTTAGTTCTTCCACACATCCTGTATTCTGTCCTCCATACCTTTGCTCTACTTTATTCCTTCAGCCTGGAACTCCGTTCCCTCCATCTGTCACCAAAGTGCTTCTGTTCTTCACGAGGGTATAGCCCAGGCACTTCTTCCGTGGGAAGGCTCTCCTCTCTGCTTCCACTGCTGGCTGTAACCACCTTCAGATCTGTGCCACGTGCTAATGGCGACCTCCCATACCAGACTGTGAGCATAACCAGCTTTTTTTTTTTTTTTTTTTTTCTGAGATGGAGTTTTACTCTGTCACTCAGGCTGGAGTGCAGTGGTGCGATCTTGGCTCCCTGCAACCCCCGCCTCCCGGGTTTAAGCAGTTCTCCTGCCTCAGCCTCCTGAGTAGCTGGAATTACAGGTGCCCGCCACCACGCCTGGCTAATTTTTTTGTATTCTTAGTAAAGACGGGGTTTCATTATGTTGGTCAGGCTGGTCTTGAACTCCTGACCTTGTGAACTGCCCATTTTGGCCTCCCACAGTGCTGGGATTACAGGCATGAGCCACTGCGCCTGGCTGCATAACAAGCTTTTATTAGTCATCTGCTATGTACCAGAGACTGGGTTTGGTGCCAGGGATTCAGCGCTGAACGGTATACAGGTTTGGTCCTGAAGGTGTTTGTTCTGATGGAAGAAATGAAAGGGCTGTGGCAAGGCAAAGTTGGAGTGCCCCTGTGGCAGACTCCACCGCACTGGGTGCCTAGGGGTCCAGGGGAGAGGCTGCTTGTGACTTGAGCTTTGAAGGATGAGCAGCATTTCCCAGGTGGAGAAGGTGAGGAAGGGCATTCCAGGCAGAGGGCACAGAAGATGTAAAGAGGCCTGGGGATTTGAGTCATGGCATACTTGGGGAATGGAATCATTGTGATTTTCCAAGAATGCTGAACTAAATCCAAGTACTGATTGGACTCTAATTCCCATCTCCTTTCTCCCTTCTCAGGTCTCTGGCTATCCGAGTGTCTGGCCGGAGCCCCCCAGGGGGCCCAGAGCCACAGGACAAGGGCCCAGATGGACTGTCATTTTATGGGGACAGATGGTCTGGGGCTGTGGTGCGGAGGGTGATCTCTGGGCCTGGGTCAGCCAGGATGGAACCAAGAGAGGTGAGGTCCTGCCTCCTGAGCTGGGGGGTGGAGTCAGTGCCTTGGCCCCAGCTGGACACCCCCTGGTTGGTGGATCAAGATCACTGGGCGGAGCTTCTGGGGATTGGCCAGAGCAGAAGTGGGCCCACTGATTAGCTGCAGTTGCCCTGCTCAGCCAGGGTTAATTGAAGTCTGATTGGGTGTGGGCTGGGAGGTGGGGCCAACTGACAGCACAGTACATCCCTGTGCTTCCAGGTGGGGAAAGACCTGGATGAGCTGGGCAGGTTGTTGGGGGATCCTTTGGGAGTGGGTCTGACTGGGCTGGGCATGGCAGTTCCCGAGGGGGCACTATCTGAACTGTGAGGCATGATCACTCCTACACCCAGTGTTCCTCCAGCCCCTGGGCTGCTGTACTCTTAGAGGCTCACTTCTTTCCCTCCCTGCCTGGGTTTTCTCCCAGCAAAGAGTGGAAGCTGCTGGTCTGGAGGGGGCGTGCCTGGAAGCCGAGGCCCAGCAGAAAACCTTGCTCTGGAACCAGGGGTCCTCACTCCCCTCCCTGATGGACTCAAAGGGTAAGTCTGGCTTGGGAGTTGGAGCTGATGGCCTGACAGAGGGGTTCTCTAGTTCGTGGTGCATGCTGGGGACCAAAGGCCTGAGAAGGGACTGGCCTTGCCCCAGCTGCCCTTCTCCTAGCTCCCCGCTGCTGCTGCTGCCTCCTCCTATCCCTTCCTTTGTAAGCATCTTACAGTGAAAGGAGCACTGTATTAGGAGTCCAGAGACCTGGGTTTGAGTCCTGGCTCTGCTCCTAGAGGGTACTGGGCTTGGGCAAGTGCCTGCCCCCTCCGAACCTAAGTCTCTCATTCTAAGAAGGGGAAGGTGGGGTCCTGGAGCTCAGGCCTCGAGAGGGCCACGTTTGTGGCCCCACCAAGGGCACTCCTGGACCTCACCATCCTCCTCTTGTCCTCCCTGCCTTATCCATGCCTAGCCTGCCAGTCCTTCCATGAGGCCCTAGAAGCCTGGGCGAAGGGGCCAGGGGCCGAGCCCTTCTACATCCGTGCCAACCTCACCCTGCCCGAGAGGGCAGATCCCCATGCCCTTTGTGTGAAAGCCCAAGAGATTCTTCGGCTGGTGGACCCGGCGTACAAGCGGAGACAGGAATGGTTCTGCACCCGGGTTGACCCCCTCACTCTGCGGGACCTGGACCGGGGCACTGTGCCCAATTATCAGAGGTAATGCAGAGCCAGGAGCCGGAGATGGGGTCCCCCTGGGAGCCATGCCCAGATGGGGGTGCTCTCCCTCCTCCCACTGTCTCTCACCATTTGAGAAGGGATGATGGGCTCTCCTTCCTACACACATGATCCCACTTTCTCCCACAGAGCCCAGCAGCTCCTAGAAGTTCAGGAGAAATGCCTGCCTTCCAGCCGGCACCGAGGCCCCCGCAGTAATGTGAGCATGGCTGGGTGGGCAGCGGGAGGGGGAGCCCCAAGGGTGGGGTCCAAAAGGGAGCTAGCAAACTCTGTTCTCCAGCAACCTAGGAAGATCCTCCCTTCCTCCTTCCCTGGGGCTTTAATTGGTCATCTAGTATGTGCCCAGAAAATAGAACAGCAGAGCTCACTGTGCAGGGTAGTTTAGAGATGAAATGAGATACAGCATGCCTAGTATTCAGGAGTACCTTGGCACATAGTAAGCATTTGACAAAACAGCAGGCACGTCCCCTCTTCCAATGCCTGGATGGCGGCTGGGCTGCATGTCCTGCTGTGCACATGGGCAAGTGAGGCTGAGACATCCGATAAAGGAAGAGCCAGGACCCCAGCCAGGCAGCCTGCATTGGAGCCCCAGCTCTGCCCCTTATCAGCTGTGTGACTTTAGACAATCTCCTGAACCTTCCTTGGGGCTGTTCCCTCATCTGTAAAATGTGGGGGCTGCACCGCCTCTCAGGCTGTCCATGGCGAGAGATGGCCCCTCAGGGGCTTAGCAAGTGTCCATCATGTCGCAGGCATTTGAGACCAGTCCGGTATTGGTATAATCAGTGCTGTTATTGGTTTTATCAGTTTTCCTACCAAGGCCACATTGCTAATTCACTGGCAGAGACCCTAAAGTTGGCCTCCTATGTGATATTTGGTTCTTCTTGACCTCTGGGCCTCATTCTCCCTGTCTGTAACTTGGGGGGTAGACCTAAGGCTCCTCCACCAGGCTCGGATGGGTTGGCTTCCCTGGGGCCTCAGGGCTGGTCACCTTTGAGGATGAAGAGTTCATTCCAGGCAGAAGGCACCGAGGCATGGCTGTGTGTGGTGTTCTTGGAGGGTGTTGGTTACAGCAGGTGCAGTCCCCCTGCTTGGGGGACTGTGCTGGGCAGAACAGGAGAGGGCCTGGTGGAGGCGGGCACCTTTGCTGACCTAGGCTTTTCCGGCAAGCCTGGACCACGGTGGCAGTGGGGCCCACTCAGCCCGGGGTCCCGATTCCTCCTCTCCCTGATGGGGCGAGGCTGAGCTCTCAGATGCTCTTCTCTCCCTGCACCTTCCCAGCTGAAGAAGAGAGCCCTGGACCAACTGCGGCTGGTGAGGCCCAAGCCTGTGGGAGCGGCCGCAGGGGACTCCCCAGAGCAGCCGCTGCTGGAGCCCTGTGGAGGTGAGTGTGTGGGCGCAAAGCTGGATCCCGTGTTGCGCTGGGTGTCCTGTAGTCTGGGTGGCTCCTTTGGCCTAGAAGGGCCTGTTGTGAGGGTTCAGTGGGAGTCATGCTGGGGACCTGAGAGACAAGCCCCACCCCTGCCCTGGTCATTGCCAAGGTTGAGGGAGACCCTGCGGGGATGCATGTGGCTGTGACTGTGTGTCTGCACAAACACCGGCCTGTTTTGTCTGGCAGTGTGTGTGTAGCAGCGCTCGTGACACGTGTGGTGGGGGGCGGGGGTTCATTCCCGGAGGCAGTAGGGTGAGGCCTTAGGCCAGACAGTGAGAAGGGGCTGAGGGAACTCAAATGAGGGAGTAGCAAATCTAGGGCAAGAGGAGCGGATAGTTAGGAAGGACTTCCTGGAAGAGAGGGAGTTTCCACTGGGGACTGCAAGGATGAGGAGGAGTTCGTTCCAGGCATAGAGGCATGGCTGGGTGTGGTGGCCTTGGAGGGTGTTGGGTACGGCAGGTGAGTATTGAGTACCAGCTCTGTCGGGTGTTGGGGACATGACTCCCTGCCCTCATTCAGCTGTCTAATGAGTGGGTAGGGGATCAGATGATCCCACCTGTGAACACAGAGTGTGAGGTGTGTAGCGGAGAACTGGAGGCCATGGAGCACATGCCAGGGCCCTGCTGTCTGAGGACTAGGGAAGGTGGGACCTAGGCTCTGAGGGAGGGCAAGGGTTAACGCTTCTGGTGGCTCCAGGGCATGCAAAGGCCCTGTGGTTGGAGGCAGCTGAAGGGAGAGGGGAGGCTGGTGGTGTGGGGTCCGTGGCTGGCAGCCTCCCCAGGTGCTCAGGCAGGGCTGCGTCACCCATGCGGAGAAGGTGGCTTTTATTTCTGAGAATCTGGGAGGTCACTGGTGTGTCGAAAGCAGGGGAGTTAACATGATCGGATTTGCTTTTTAAAGCCTGACCGCTGAGTGGAGAATGACCTATGGGGGGCAGGGATGAGGCAGAGGAGCAGGCAGGAGCCTACTGCCACCGTCCTACTGTGTGTGTGTGCGTGCACGCGCACACTCGGGTAGGAGGAGCAGGACTGAGGAAGGGATGGGTGGTGGGGGTTTTGGGGTATTGAGGAGTTGCTACCCTGCCTGCCTGTGCCCTTATCTCTTCTGTGCCCCACCCCTGCCACAGAGCCAGAGCGCAGCCTCAGACCCTACAGTTTGGTGCGGCCACTGCTGGTGTCTGCCCTGCGGCCTGTGGTGCTGTTGCCTGAGTGCCTGGCACCCCGGCTCATCCGCAACCTGCTAGACCTGCCCAGCTCCCGGCTGGACTTCCAAGTTTGCCCCGCAGGTGAGACCGTGTGCCTGGGAGGGCTGGGGGGTTTCCGGCAGCCAGACCCCATGGACTCCATCTCTCCCTCTCTGTTCCCCTGTGCAGAAAGCCTCTCTGGGGAGGAACTGTGCCCATCCTCAGCACCCGGAGCCCCCAAGGCCCAGCCTGCCATCCCCGGGCTGGGCAGCAGGATCCGGGCCATCCAGGAGTCTGTTGGGAAGGTAGGTGCTGGGGGCGGGCCTGGGGTGCTCCCAGGGGTGCTCCAGAGTGGGTGCTACTGTTCTGGGCTTGAGTGCCAGCATCTGAGTGCCAGCCAGGCTGTGCTGCTCACTGCCAGGGCAACCCTGGGAAAATTCTTTCCCTCCTCTGGTCCTCAGTTTCCTCACCTGGATGGGAGGGCACAGTTGACTGCCTGTGGGTCCCCCTCAAGGTGTTCTACTGCCACAGCTCATCTACACATTCTTGTCCTTGAACTTGCCACTATCTGGGAGCTGGCGGTCAGCTGTAGGGTGGTGGGTGGGTTTGGGTCAGCTCCATCCTCGGGGTGGGGGGAGGCCCAGGTCCCGTCTCTCCTTTTGGGCTCCTTCTTTGCTGCCAGGGTCCCTCTGGGTGGGGAAGCAGGACTTGCACCTGGGAGGGTGTGATGGGGGACCTGTCTGGGGGCAGAGCCTGGGAGGCTGATGTCTCTGGGCCGGGAGTAGTGTAGCCTCGATCCTCTGAGCAGAAGCACTGCCTGCTGGAGCTGGGTGCTCAGGGTGTGCGGGAGCTGGTGCAGAATGAGGTCTACCCCATCGTCATCCATGTGGAGGTGACCGAGAAGAACGTCCGGGAAGTCAGGTGAGGGGGGTGGGTGGCTCAGCGGGAAGTGAGCAGTGTGCGGGCACTTGGACCAGAGAGCATCCTCCTGGAGGATGCCTCTCCCCCTCCCTCCCCACCATCTCCATCTGTCTCTCTTGGGTTGTCCGTCTTCTCTTTCCCCTTAGTCAGAAGCTGCACATTATGGAATATTAAACACTTTTGTAGTAGACACTGGGGGCCTTCCGCTTGCTTGTATCCCCGGCCTTGGCCCCGGCCACTCTCCTTATTTGTTCCCACCCCCAGCTCAGGCAGCTACCACCTTTCAGGTCCCCACTTGCCCGTCTGGAGGGTCAGATATCCCCCCTGCCTCGTCCCTCTCTCCCTGTCCGTCTTGGTCCCCCACTTTGACCACTGCCCACTCCTCTCTTGGCAGAGGTCTGCTGGGCCGGCCGGGCTGGCGGGACTCAGAGCTGCTGCGGCAGTGCCGTGGCTCGGAGCAGGTGCTCTGGGGGCTGCCCTGCTCCTGGGTGCAGGTGCCCGCCCATGAGTGGGGCCACGCAGAGGAGCTGGCCAAGGTGGTGCGCGGCCGCATCCTGCAGGAGCAGGCCCGCCTCGTGTGGGTGGAGCGCGGCGGCGGCAGCAGAGGCTACGGCGGCAGCAGTGAGGCCTGAGGCTCATCTGATACCTGCGGCTTCTTCCCAGGCCAGTTGCGGCGAAGCTGGGTCCTCCCGCCCTGAGCCTTCCTAGAACCTTGGACTCCCAGTCGCAGGGCCCTTGACTCTGGCCTCTCACCCCCGAGGCTGTCTCTGGCCCTGCCCAGCCTGCAGGAGCCCCGGGACAGAGCGCCCACTCCCCTGTACTTGCTGCTCTGGGCCTCCCCACCTGTCCTGGGGTCTCCACAATCCCACTAGTGGGTCTCACTAGTGTGTGTCTTCTCCTTAAACACTTGCCCTGGAGCCTGTTCTCACACCTGTGCACAGGTTTGCACACTCAAGTTCTCACGGGTAGGCTCAGGTCTGTCCCTCTGCCCTGGGCCTGTTCTGCTCCCAGGAGCCCCGAGCCCATTATCATGTGACTTCCGCCATCCAGCTCACGTTCCTCGTGGATTCAGCCATGCATGGACGGCGGTGGGGGGGAGGTTGGGGGGGCGGGCGGTTCCCGGGCCCTCGGTCACCTGTGCCCTTCGTGTCTCTTCACATGGGTGTCTGTGGTTCTCTCCTGTGTAAATGTCACGCCCCGCCCATTTCACATGGGCACACACAGAACCATGCCTCATAGGGCCCAACCCCTGCCTCTGCCTCCCTCTTGGGGGCGGGGAGGGCTCCGTCATGAGAATGTACAGCCCGTGGATGATTAACGGGTCTGTTACACCATGGAACATTAAACACTTCTGTGGTAGACACTGGCGGCCTTCTGCTTGCTTGTATCCCTGGCCTGGGCCCCCACCATTCTTATTTGTCCCCACCCCCAGCTCAGGCAGATACCACCTTTCAGGTCCCTGATAGCCTGTCGGGAGGGTCAGATTTCCTGCCTGCCTGGTCCCAGAGCCGCCTGCCATCTGCGCTGGCATCACCTTACCTGCCCCAGATGACCAGAGAAGGGCCGCATGGATGGGCCACCCCAGCGCTCAGCCCGGCCCATGGCTGATCATCAGAGGAGTGCCCCCACCTCCGGAGCAGGGCACCAAAACTGACAGGGTGTGGTCTCAGACTGAAGGGACCCGACTGCTGAGCCCAGGAGCTCAAGAGCAAACCCTCGGTATGCTCGCAGGTTCCTGAGATGGCTCCACTCAAGAGAGGATGGTTGCTCCCACTGGGAGCAATCCAGGCAGCCTTCCTGGAGGAGGTGCCACTTGAGCTTGGGAATTGGGATTCCTTTCTTCAAGAACCACCTACTGGACCTATGTGTCCAAGTGCAGGTGACTGTCCTCAGCCACAGTGATGAGCCTGGGCAGGCCCTGGGGCTTGGGGTCTGGATGTACTAACTAGTGTAGCTTCCAGGGCCAAAGCTCAGGGGCAGCACATGGGTTGGATCTGGCCACCTGGGGAGAGGTTGGAAGTGAGGTCAGGAAGGGCAGTCCTGGGGTGGGGCTGGGAGTGCAGAGGAGCTTGGGCTGTGCCCTGGAGGCTGTGGGAGCCTCCAAGGATGGGGGAGCAGGGCTGTGGGAACTCTGGTTTGGGGTTGGCTCAGGACTGAGGCCGATTGGAATAGGGGATGGGGAGAGGGGGAGGGGTAGTGAAAGAGAGGAGCAGACCAGAAGGAGGGGCTCTGTGGCCCCCAGGGGTGGGGCTGGATCTCCATGTTTGACAAGAAAAATTCTTAAGAAGGGCTAAGGTCTGGGATTTGGGGTGGTGGGTGGAGAACAGAACGGGGAAGCTGAGAGAGGGGTTTGGGGTGTAGATGGGGCGCCCATCTTTAGTGGGAAGAGACAAGGACTGGGTATAGGGGAGAGGTGGCGAGGGTCTCAGAGGCTGGACCACGCAAGATGACGGTGCTTGGGCACGGAGTTGCCTGAGAGGATGGTGAGCTCAGGCTGTCCCGGGAGCCCATAGAGGCTTTCCCAAGATGGAGTGCAGGGTGCACAGGGCACTGTGGTTTGGTTGAAAGCCAAAGCTCTGGCCAGACAGGTGACCCCTGGCAACTCAGATGGCCTCTCTGGACCTAGGGTCCTCCCCTGTGGAGACCAGGATGCTGGAATGAGCATGGGGGTACTGATTGGCCACGGCTGGGTGAGCACGCGTAGCTGGAGCCATTGCCTGGGAAACTGCTCTTCCCACTCTCTCCACGACAGGGCATCTTTAAGAAGGTGCAGATTGGACCTTGAGGCCCACCAGTCTGTCACCACGGGTAGGGGCTGGAGAGTTGGACTCTTGAGTGGCAAAGGCGCTGCCGTGGGGGAAGGGCCGCCCCCTGCATGGGAGCCAGCTGCAATGTCCCTTTCCACTCCAGGGCTTCCTCCAGCTGTATCCCCCCCCAACACACGCGGTGGGCTCCGAATCTGCCCTCAGCTGTGCCCCTGTGCTCGTGTGGCCTGCTGCCTGGGCTGCTCTCCCTGCCTGAATCTTCCTGACCTTTGAAGCCTGGCTGAGATGCCACCTCCACAAAGCCCACCAGAGCCTCCCAGCTCCTGGGACTTCTCTGGGTCATGCCATGTTCTGCCTTATGGCAGGACGAGGGAGTCTGTGTGGCTGTCTCTCGATGTCTGTGGCTCCCTGGGCATTGGGGTAAATGAACCTCCCCCTGCCCCAGTGCTTGGTCTGGGGACAGGCTGGGCGCTGTGGCTCGGCTGCCTCTGCCTGCGGCCCCTGTCAAGTGTCCTTTCTGTGTGGTGGTGAAGCCCACTCATCCCATAATCGTCACCAAGTTACATTTTTGTCCCCATTTTACAGATGATAAAGGTAGCTTGCCTGGGGTCACACAGACAGTGAGTGGCCCAGTAGGGATTTTTTTTTTTTTTTTTTTTTTGAGACAGAGTCTCACTCTTGTCACCCAGGCTGGAGTGCAGTGGTGCCATCTTGGCTCACTGCAACCTCCCGCCTCCCGCCTCCCGCCTCCCGGGTTCAAGTGATTCTCTTGCCTCATCCTCCCGAGTAGCTGGGATTACAGGTGCCCACCATAACGCCTGGCTAATTTTTGTATTTTTAGTAGAGATGGGGTTTCACCATGTTGGCCAGGCTAGTCTGGAACTCCTGACCTCAAGTGATCTGCCTGCCCCAGCCTCCAAAAATGCTGGGATTACAGACATGAGCCACAGCGCTCGGCCCCCAGTCGGGAGTTGAACCTCGTCTGTGGGGCACAGAGCCTGTGATTACCACCAAGGCTGGCATTGTCACCATTCTGAGAATATGGGCTGTGAAGGGCCTTGCTGGGGGCTGGCCCATGAGAAAGTGATTCAAAGGGTTGGTTTCCCTTCCTCTCCCCTAGCTGTCCTCATGCAGGGTTGAGCCTGGCAGGGCCAGTTCACTTCACCAGCCACCTGAATGTTGATCGAGTTCTTGTCTGCAAGACACTGTCCTAGGCACTGGGGATTAGGGACTCAGTGATTAAAAAGAAATCCTGCCCTGATAGTCTCATGAGGAGGACAGACAATAACTAAGACATACAGGATGTGGAAGATGAAAAGCGTGGAGAAAACAGTGAAGAAGGGGGCTGGGCCAGGCGCGGTGGCTCAGGCCTGTAATCCCGGCTACTCGGGAGGCTGAGGTGGGTGGATCCGTAGGTCAGGAGTTCAAGACCAGCCTGGCCAAGATGGTGAAACCCCGTTTCTAGTAAAAATACAAAAAAATTAGCTGGGTGTGGTGGCGGGCGCCTGTAATCCCGGCTACTCGGGAGGCTGAGGCAGCAGAATTGCTTGAACCCGGGAGGCAGAGGTTGCAATGAGTGGAGATGGTGCCATTGCATTCCAGCCTGGCCAACAGAGTGAGACTCATCTCAAAAAAAAAAAAAAAAAAGAGGCGGCTTGGGAAGGACAGGCCTGGGGGGCTGGGAAGGAGGGGGCAAGGGGTTGCAATGTTAATAAAATGGCCAGGGAAGGCCTCACAGAGATGGTGACCTTTGTGTAAAGCCCAGAGGGAGTGGGAGAGTGAGATGAGGTCTCTAGGGAGGGTTGTGGGTGGGGACAGCAAGTGACAAGGTCCTGTGGCAGCCGTGTGCCTGGGACAGCCAGGATCCCAGGGGTCTGCAGTGTAGCAGAGTGAGTAGCAGGACGGGGTGGGAGGGCCTTGTGGGCTACCGAGTGCATTTTTGGCTTTTGTTCTGAAGAAAATGGGAGCCAGTGCAGGCTTTCAGCGGCGGAGGGAGGAGGTGTGAGTGAGCTTGTCTGAAACAAGACGGAGGTGGTGGCTGGAGAAGGCCTTCTGTCTGTCCACTGGCTGGGTGCTGGGAGAGCAGCAGCTCCAGAGACTGTGGAGTGACGTTGGGTACGGGCAGCGCCACGGCGGGGCAGGACCTCCAGAGAACCAGATGAGGACCAGAGACCTGGGTTCTGTCAACTCTGCAGCTGAGCTGCTGGATCATCTCTGCTCATTCTGTGCCTTTGTGCCTTACATCTTTGGCCATAAACTGGGAGTGACAGCCCCAGTGCTGTTGTGAAGACCACAGGATCTGAGCGAACTACCGCGGGAGCCCCAGATGTTAAGAGGGGGCATCATGGAAGGCTTCCTGGAGAAGGGAACCCTTGAGCTTTAAAGTTCAGATAGAATTCAACCTAGCGGAGGGAATGTGGGTGAGGCTGGTGGGAGGGGACCGCATCCCGGAGGGAAACTGAGCAAACGCCGGACGACGCAGGACACCAAAGTAATGGGTGTTGAATGGGCCAAGCTGACAGGTCTCTGGGGACGTGGATGGTCCTGGAGGAACCTCCCTTCCACCGCGCACGGAGAGTTTGTTGTGACTTCCTCTCACCGCAGCAGCTGGTAGAGCCAGGGCTGCCCCTTCTGCTAGTGCCTCCTTTCAGCCGCCTCTGTCTGGGGTTCCCTTCGTCTGGCCCCGCCTCTCAGGCTGAGCGGGGCGGGGCCCGGCAGTCCCGGAGGCTGCGGCCGGCCGGCCGGGAGCAGGTGGAGGGCTGGCGCGGTCGAGACGGTGCTGCCATGGCTCAGCCTCCGGGTCCAGAGTCTCGGCTCCTACTTCTTCCCTCCTTGTCAGCCCCTGATGCTTGCCAGATTTTTGCCTCTGCCGGAGCCCCGGCCTGACCAGCCTCCCTCCCCGTCTGGCTGGGATTTGGGGGCTGAGCTGTCTGGGTTCCCAGGGCCAACCAATGCAGTGCCGGCTCCTGCGGGGCCTGGCTGGAGCCCTCCTCACCCTCCTGTGCATGGGGCTTCTGTGTCTGCGGTACCACTTGAGCCTGTCCCCGCAGCAGGTACAGGAGACCCCCGAACTGAGCCAGCCGAGCCCGGGGCCCCCTGAGCTACAGCTGCGCGATGTCTTTATCGCAGTTAAGACGACCCGGGCCTTCCACCGCTTGCGCCTGGAGCTGCTGCTGGACACGTGGGTCTCCAGGACCAGGGAACAGGTGACAAGTGGGTGACATTGGGCTCTGGGAGTGGTCCCTGGACCAAGGGGTTCTCAGAGGCCTTTCTCCTGGGCTGGGGTCCCTGACTGCCTCGTGGGAGAAGCTGCCCGATACCTGCCCAATCTGGGATCCTCTTTCCCTCTCCTTCTTCCGGGTCTCAGGGGCTGCCTGCAGCCCTGCCTGTGCCCTGCACTCATCCTGGTACACCCAGGGCCCACTGCTCCGCCACTTTTAGGGGTCAGGCTGGGCCCCTGCCCCAGGCTCCTGGGTCTCTCCCGGGGGTTCTTTTATTCCTAGCTTCTCTTGTGGGGCCTCACTCCTAGCCACCAAGGCCCAGCCTGGCACTGGGGGCAATGGTGAGTGTTGGGCAGCTGGGATGGAGGCCTCCAAGAGGTCCTGATCGTGACCCACGCCCAGGCCAGGCTGCCCCACCCAGGCCCTAGGTGCTGTCCCTAGGGCCACCTGAGCCCCATGAGGCCTGGGGCACTGGGTCCTTGGCCCAGGCTCTGAGGGCTGCAGACAAGGGGAGACTGTCTAGGTGGGGTCTGTTCTGGGGGAGGCATCCTTTCAGGCTTCCGGACAGCCCCTGCCGCTGTGCCTCTGCTGCCCGGGGCGTGCCAAGGGTGCCATGTCTGGCTTCCTGCGCTGGCTTTCTGCAGGGCTGCTTCAGAGGGAGGGAAGGAGGGTGGGTGCTGCCAGGGTAGAGGGAGAGGAGTGGTGGTGGGAGGTCGGGAGGCCTGCCAGGCCTGCAGGATTGTGTGTGCGCACGTGCTCATACGCATGGAGCTGGAGTGTGCTAGATATGCCGTGACAAGAGGCGTGGGTGTCACATGGGTGCATGGCTCCGGCAAGCCAAGTCCCTTCCAGCTCTTCCCCTCCTCGCATCCAGTGTCTTCCTCAAGCAAAATCAGTGATGCCGGGTGTTAGGGACCATTGCTCGGGAGGTGGAGAACGGGCGCGCGCGTACACACACACACACACACACACACACCCACCCACCCCTCTTTGGAGGCTGGCTCAATAGGAGGAAGTGACTGAGTCTTTGGAGGGAGTTAGGCCTCCTGAAAGACCGAGACAGGGAGAGGAAGCCTGGGAGGCCAGGCTGTCCTGGGGAGGGCGCCCTGCCTTGATTTTGGCTCTTGCACCAGGCTTAAGGCTTCTCCAGCTGGCACCCGAGCACCCCAGCTCTTCTCTGGACCCCACACAGCTTCTCCTCTTGGGGAGATCTTGGTTCTTCCTGCGGAAGCCACCGAGGCGGGCCCTCCCACAGGCCTTCCTGTTTATGAGTCTGTGTACCCGGGAGCGTGGCCTCACATGGCCCACGGCCTTTTCCTGTCCTGTCTCCATCACCACGGTGATGCCCTTGCCCTGGATGGGGAAACTGAGGCCAGAGAAGAGGAAGTGCTGGCTGGCGCAGCGTCACTCAGAAGGCCTGATGGGTCAGAGACCAGTGGGACCTAGAACCTTGCTCCTGTCTGGGCCCCTTTCTCTCCTGCTGAGACTTGGGAACCCTGTTGAGGCTTGGGCCACTGGGCTACAGGAGAGGGTCCTTGGCCTTCGGGCTGGGCAGCTGTGCCTGACAGAACCAGGGCAGCAGAGGCAGGCAAGAACAACCCCTCTGTGTCCCAAGCTCCATCCCAGCTGTGAATCAGGTGGTGGGGTGGGAGTAGGGGTGCTGGCAGCTACAGGCTGCAGATCAGGCGAGTTGCTTGTTTCACCCTCATGGCAAGCCGCAGAGGTCAACTGTGACGCCCGTGACGTTCCCACCTCACAGTGCAAACACCAAGCAGGTTCAGCTGAGGTGGGAGATGAAGCCACTCAGCGGGACCCAAGGGGCGAGGGGCAGACTCCAGAAGTCTTGTCTTTAAAGTTGAAAGAAGGAAGGATGCTGAGATGGAGGAGGAGGTGGAAGGACAGGGAGGTCCTCACTCGCCACCCCATGTCTCTTTCACCCTTTGGCTCACTTCTCTCTGTGACCTTGGCCAAGGCCCTCCCCTTTCGGCCTACAGTTTCCTCATCTCCATGGGGCGGGAGTGTCTGGACCGGGCCTGAGCTGGTTAACTGCAGCACTGGGCGCCCCAGCGGCTGGTTAAGGGCGGCTGGGTAGCAGGTGGGCCTTGTGGCAGGGGCCGGGGACTCGTGTGCCGGCCTTTGTCCTGGGCCGAGGGGGTGGGCTGGGGGAGGCGGGTTTTGCACTCAAGGGGAGCCTTTCTCCTCCCCTTGTGGGCAGGGGGCGGGGGCCGGGACGGGATGGCGGGGTGGCCGGGGGAGAGGTGGCAGCGGCCCCACAACTCCCCTCCTCCACAGCAGATGGTCCCCGGCCACCCCTCCCCTACCCCAGCAGGCTGCGTGTCCTTTTGTTTCCAGCGGCCGCCTGTGAAGTTTCCACCATTGTCAGGCCCTCTCCTTAAACAAATCAAATGCAGCCCTCAGCTCTGAGGAAACTCTGCCCAGTGCTCTGGGCCAACCTCAGGATTCCCGGGGACTGAAAACACCAGCTTCGCTGCCCTCTCCCATGCCCCCACCCCTCTGGACCTGGACTCCCCTTCTCGGCTCCCTCCCTCCCTCTGCTCATGGCTGCTTTATTCTCCTGCTTTTTTTTTTTGAGACAGAGTCTCACTCTGTTGCCCAGGCTGGAGTGCAGAGGCACGATCCTAGCTCACTGGAATCTCCGCCTCCTGGTTTCAAGTGATCCTCAGCTTCCTGAGTAGCTGGGATTACAGGCAGGCACCACCACACCAGGCTAATTTTTCTATTTTTAGTAGAGATGGGGTTTCATCATGTTGGTCAGGCTGGTCTTGAACTCCTGGCCTCATGATCCACCTGCCTCAGCCTCCCAAAGTGCCTATTCTCCTGCTTTATTTGGGCTTACTCGGTCTTCACTGGGAAACGTTCCTCAGCCCATTTGGCCCATGCTCCAAACTAGAGCGCTCCACTATCTGGTGCCTGTTTGGTGGCAAAAGTTTGCTGGGGGCAGGGTAGGAAAGGGCTGGCTCCTTTATGGGATCCCTTGGGGCTGTGTCGAAAACAGACGGGGTGGTGGCAGAACAGAGCAGGGATGCCAGGGAGGAGAGACTGCAGCAAGGCAGGTAGCAGGTGACGACAGTGGTGGGGCTCTGGGTGGCCAGGTGTGCTGGAGGGACAAGAAGCAATCTAGGTGATTTGGAGGCTGGTGAGTAGAGTTGCTGACAGGCTTGGGGAAGGTGTGAGAGGAAGAGAGGAGGGGCGGGGACTCCGAGGTTTTGGGTCCCAATCAGTGAGAGGGAGGATCTTGGAGAGCCTGGGGCTCATTCTTGATGCATTAAGACATCGTGGAGATGTGGTGGCTGGGGGGATCTGACGGTTTGGAGCTCAGGGAGAGGCTAGGGCTTGCGGTGTACACGAGTCTCCAGCTCCCTGATGGTGGTTAAAGCCGAGAGGCTGCATGGCATCACCAAGGGAGTGGGCTTCGTGAAGAAGCAGACCAGGGCCTAGGCTCAGACCAATGACATTTCTCCCCGAGGAAATCCAGAGACCTCCAGCATTAGCTAAATCTGACAGTGAGACAGACCCCTGGGAGAGGCTCAGAAGGAGATGCTGCCCGGGCCTCCCCGAGGATAACCAGGTGTTGGGATTAGGAGACAGATGGGTACCTTTATGAAATCTAAAGACCTAAGGTGGATTTAGCAGTACATCAAGAATAGAGAGCTTGATTGAATAAAGGCCATGAAGCAGGCACACACTGCCCGTCACCCTCCTCAAACGTCGCATAAAAGTATCTTGCCAATAAGCCACTACACACTGATATAGAGGGGATAAGTCGTAACATGGTAAGTGTACTGGGAAGTACGCTTGGACGAATCAAAGTGTAGCTTAAATTAAAGCATCCGGCTTACACCCGGAAGATCTCACCAATAACTGATCACTGAGCTAGCTCTAGCTCCAACCTCATATAACTATATGATTTAACTACAATAATTAAATCATTTACCTATTAAAAAAGTATAGGCGATAGAAATTATATTTAGGTGCAATAGATGTAGTACTGTAAGGGAAAGACAAAAGCCTAATAAAGCATAAAAAAGCAAAGACAAACCCTTCTACCTTCTGCATAATGAATTAACTAGAAATAGCTTTGTGTAGAGAACTTCAACAACGTCCCCCGAAACCAAGTGAGCTACCCAAGGACAGCTAAAAGAGTGCACCCGTCTATGTGGCAAAATAGTGGGAAACTCTATGGGTAGTGGCGACAACCTACTGAGCCTGGTTATAGCTGGTTGTCCAAGACAGAATCTTAGTTCAACCTTCAATTTACTTACAGAACTATTTAATCCTCCTGTAAATCTAATCATTAGTCTAAAGAGGGACAGCTCTTTAGACCCTAGGAAATAACCTTTTATAGAGAGTAAAACATTTCACTACCATAGTTGACCTAAAAGCAGCCACCAATTAAGAAAGCGTTTAAGCTCAATGCTCAATTACTCTTAATCCTATTCATTTTACTGAACTCCTAAAACACACTGGACTAATCTATTACTTAATAGAAGCAACAATGTTAGCATAAGTAACGTGAAATTATTCTCGCCGCATAAGCTTATTTCAGACGGAAACAACTACTGTTAGTTAACAGCCCAATCATTATAACCTACAGTTTAATCTATCATCCAAACTGTTAACCCAACACAGGCATGCCTCCAGGAAAGATTAAAAAAAGTAAAAGGAATTCAGCAAACTTTACCCCTGCCTGTTTACCAAAAACATTACCTCTAGCGTCACCAGTACTAGAGGCACATGCGCAGTGACACATGTTTAACGGCCGTGGTACCCTGACCGTGCAAAGGTAGCATAATCACTTGTTCTCCAAATAGGGACATGTATGAATGGCCACACGAGGGTTTAACTGTCTCTTACTTTTAATCAGTGAAATTGACCTATCCGTGAAGAGGCGAATATACCTAAATAAGATGAGAAGACCCTATGGAGCTTCAATTTAATAATACAAACGAGTACCTTAAAAACCC